GTGTGTGTGTGTGTGTGTGTGTGTGTGTGTGTGTGTGTTGTCTAGTTGTTTGAAGATGAAAAGTTCCCAGTTCTCCCTGGCCTGGAAAATCTCCGGAACAAGCACAGAAGGCGAGTGAAGCAGAGGTGAGGAGGGCAGAGAGAGCGCGCATGGGCGCGCGGCTCCCGGGCGAAGCGAGAGGCGGCAGGACGCTTCCGGAGCGGCGTTTCGGGCCGGAGCCTGCAGGTCTGGACAGTCCGGCCTGGCCCTTGGGGACCGAGTCCGACAGCACTCGCGGGGAGACGGGATCGATGCTCAGTCTAAACTCTACAGAAGTACAGTCCTACAACATCTGGGATTTTAGCATAATGCTAACTTCTATAAGGTTTTTTTTTCCTTTTTTAAATTTTTTTTTGCTTTCCTCTAATTTTTCTTCTTCTATGATATAAGTATTTTAAACTTTTCCTTTTAAAATTCTGTACAACTATTATGATTTTAAGAGGGGGAAGAATTAGAAGCATTTACAGACTTTCACAACAATTACCTTGCCTTCGAAGTCCCCTTGGTCCCCTCGTATTCTCTTCATGGTTAATGACTTAATATCTTTGTTGCTTTCCCCAAATATCCACCAATCAATTTATCTAAACAGCTCCATCCAGACATATAATACAGAAAACCATAGGAAAGTTTCAGAGACTTCAATCGGGGTAATCAAAGCGCCTCTCAAAGTATCAAAGAACTAGTATCTTGCTGTTTTAAAAGCGTTGAAGCATTATTTTTTTTCCTTTTTTTTGTTCTTTTTTATTTTTTTTTTTTATTTTTTATTACATTTTCATAGAATCGCTCTAAGCTGTTTCAAGAACAGCCAGGAGGCAGGAAGGAGGTTGGTCTCCATTCCACCTCTAATTGACAGAGCTACACATCTGCAATAAAAAGTTTGGTCCTTTGGTCCCTAAATAGCTAAAGGAATGACAAATAGAGATGCTCAGCGCGGCCTCCCAGCCGCCTGCTGGGGACTAGGCCCCATTGTACACTTGCCCCTGCCTGCCTCAGGCGCCTACCGGCAGGAAAAGCCCCAGAATGGGTTGACAGCAGCATCTCCGCCTAGTGCCCAGCCCTTCAGCTTCCCCATCTGGGCTCACTTATTTCGTTTTAAAGTCGCGGGTTTTTGTTGTTTGTTTTATATCATTTTTCTTCTTCGTCGTCATCTGTATGTCATGTATATTTTTCCCCAAACACGAGCCCTCTGCACTCCATAGACGCTATACTTTCCTTGAAGAAATGTTACAGTCACACGGAGTGTCTGGAGTCTTCAGCTTGATTGGTATTGGCTGATATGTCAAAGGTGTCTTCCAACAGTTCTCATTTATAAATAGAGAGAGAAAGAGGTTTGTTTTTAATGTAGCCCGTTCAGCATCCTGCCCTAAAATGAAGAAGATCAGTGCTGATTAAGCCAAGTGTGAAAACACAGAATGCATCCAAACACCAATAGGATCCTGCCTCTGGGGAAGATGGGATTTCTGGGGGATGGTAGGTGGTAAGGAAGAGAGACCAGTATGAGAATTAGTCATGATCATGATACAGCCAAAAGAAATTTGTTCTTCTGTTCAGACTGAAAAACCACTGGGCAATCTAATAGTGATGATTATAGCTGGGCTATAGTTATTGGAAAAAAGTTCTTGATTTGGCTTCCTTAAGAAGGGTTCTGGATTAAGAGACTGCTAGATCTAAGGGGAGAATTTGGGTCTGTGGAATATAAATTTGTAATTAAACTTGTCCCTAGGGACTTATCCCAGATACCATATGTATACAGAAGCCTAGCAAACAAGATAGCAGGACTGTGGCAGGCCAGCCCATTCCTCCCCAGCTTGAAAAAAATCTAGGAAGAGGCTCGATGCCTCTCAATTGTTGCCAAATCCTTACCCAGTTTCTAGCCAGCCACTTCTTCCTCAAGGTTAGTACTATTTGCCAGGCTGTGTGTGTATATATATGCATATCTGGATATATGTGTAGAACATATTCACCTGCACATATGTGTATATACATGGATATGTGTGTATGTGTATGCATCTATGCACACACATATGCACATACATAATACTTTTCTCATACATGCCAGGGAATTTAGAGGAAATTCAGAACTTCTAGGGACTGGATGGGAGAAGCTAAATGAAGGTCAAAATAGATTTATTTATCAAACTTAAATATATTAACTAAAGCAGTTCTTGGATTTTTATTTCCAATGGTGGTTTTTGTTTAGTTTTGCTTTTAAGGAAAACAAAATCATGATCTGACTAGAATCAGAAGGCGAATGTTTAGTCAGTGAATTAACAAATGAGACTAATCTCCATTCTAGCAAGCAGCTTCCACTTATACATGGGGGTGACTGGTTACATCAAGAAAATTATAACTGCAAAGCCCCTACTCGAGGGGACAACGTCATGCGTATATCAATCCATGCTGGCAGGTTTTCACACTGTTGATTCAACAAACAGCAAACCGTACACAGCAGTCTAAACAATTACAACACCAAAGAAAATAATAATAAAATTAAAAAAAAAACACTTGTCAAGGACCCTTTTTCAGTTGTAAATAAAAAGATGCATTTTGCTTTGTTGCTACTGTTTCTTCCAGACCAACCAAAAATACCCTCCCATGTCCCCAGCCACCCTTCCCTTCCCACCCTTCCTAAATTCTGAATTTAGCAGAAATGATTACAATACAAACCTTACAATTTTTACCAGGCTCTCTCTCAGAGATCTCTGGCTTTTCACTCTAGCTTTTTGGCTTAGAATTTTTTATCTTTTTTTTAAAAAACTATAGATAGTTTGTTTTTCATATTTCCTTTTAGGTGAGATTCAAAATAGTCTAACTGGAAAAAAGACCAAACCTAAGAAAGTGTCAATTGAAAAAGGCCCCCAAATTTCTAGAAAAAAATAAAATCACAATATTTTCAAGTGCAAGTAAATCAACCACGCAGAAATATTTTAAGATGTTTTCCTTATTTTTAAGAAAAAAAAAGAATAGTTTATACAGTTAAATGATCCCATGTTTGATAATTGAGGAATTTGTCTTTTAGTTTTACTAATTGTTTTTTTGTTTTTTCGTTTTGGTTTTTTTTTTTTCTTTCTTTCTCTATGTGACAACTAGAGAAGCATTTAAAAAAAATAAAAATGCTGAACAAGAAAAACCAAACAACAGAAACTAAAACCACTGCAGGCACCAAGAACAAAACGAAAATGAGCACAGCAAAGAGACCGTGGCAGCACAAGGGTTAAGAAAATGCACGTGTGATCATGACTGGCCAATCATCCACGGGTACGACATCCAAGGAAAACGCTCCAATCACAGCACCTCCACGAAACTTGACGGCAAGTGTCATGCAACCGATTCTTAGCCTTGTTACATGACGCCATCATGTCACACTGTGAACTTTGAGTTGATTTGAACTTACGGATGGGGGACTTTTCTCCACTCTCATGTGATTACGTGAACTTTATTCCTAGCTCAGCGCGAGACTGTGGTGGATTTGACTGGCCCTGGTTGGGTTGTTGGAATTTGGTTGAATGACAAAAGAAGAAAAGATTTATATATATATATTTATATATGGAGAGAGAGAGAAAGAGAGAGGGGAACAAGAGAGTGTGGGGAGAAAGGAGGGATGGGAGGGGTAGGGCAAGTGGGAGCAGAGGGGTTGGAGGGACCAGGGGAGGGTTAAGGGTAAAGAAGGGGAAGAACTTAAAACAAAATCAAAAGGAAAAAATATTTATACAGCACCAGACCACAGCATCCGTCTAAAGCTGATGAGAAAACAGCAGTCAAATCATAAGGGAACCAAAAGGAACTCAAAGGGATGGAGGAAGCCAGCAGACACAGGACATGAGCACAGAACGCACAAGTACACACACAGCTATTTATGCAGACACATGGCACACCATGAACAGGAGCAGAACCTCACACGGGGTCCCTAAGGGCGCCCATCATGCGTTGGGAAGAGGAAGGGGTACAGGCATTTTGGTGAGGGGGGCCAGAAAAAAAAAACTACCAGCCCCTCACACCACCATAGCCAGCAAGCAGATCTCTGGGAGCAAGCTCCATTAGCACCTTGAGTTCTTTCTCCCCCACATGTAGAGCTCTCCTCACCTGAGGGCCTGCAGGGGAGCCACTGTGCCCTGGTGGGCGGTGCAGGTGGGAAAGGTGAGTCTCCTGAGGTACTTTGCCACCACAGCAGAGTCTACCTGAACAGGACCCCTCAACTTGTAGATCCTAACCTCAAAAAGGGTGTCTTTAGGTGGCAGGGACACTTCTATGCTCACACCTCTTTGCTCTGGCAAACCAATGTCTTTGGTTTAGAGTGTATTTTATCAGAGTCCCTGACGTCCTGTAATGTCCTGAGCACTGCCAGTTTTCTGTCCTGATTACCTCAGACTCTGACTCGACCAAGCCAAGGTTGCTTCTATGCTCTGAGGTCCTCAGAGAGGCCTGCAGCTCTGACCTAAGAAAGCGCCATATAGAGAGCTGCAGGGTGGGGCTGCAGAAGGCAGCTTGCTGGCCATGCCCCTGCTGCTCTTTCCTTGGCTCTGTGGGCCTCTCCTCCATTCTCCCTGCCCCCCTTGCCTTCTTCACACTATTGCCAGCAGCTCTCCCGGCTGACCCAGCTCCCTAGCAGGAAGGAACCCTGGGGTTAGGAATAAAGGCTTTCCTCTGTAGGCACCACCGTGATTCTCACTTCTGGGATTCTCTTGTATCTGTCCCACTCCAGCTCCCATCCTGGGATTCTCCTGTATCTATCCCACTGCAGCTCCCATCCTGGGATTCTCTTGTATCTATCCCACTCCAGCTCCCATCCTGAGGCTGTCTGTGAGTTTGCTCCCTGTTCCCTGTTTCTCTGCAGCACTCAAGCCTGTGCCAAGACCTGCTGCACATCTCCGTTTTGTCTCCAGGGTCTCCAACCAACAAGCCCTGTGCAAACCACTCCAGTCTCTGTCTTGGTTTCCTTGAAGGTGGAAGGGAAGCCTAGCATCTCACAGTGTTACTGTAGATAAGCTATCCAAGCAACTGGGCCTCCAGCTAAGCCTTCCCAGAGGCACCACCCAAGCCCTCTGTCTGTCAGCTTGCACTGGGTTCTTTGCTATTCCAGCATCTGATCTTTCACCCACTCACAGCATCCTAATCACACCCTTCCTCTACATTTCCAACCCCTCAGAAAAGCTCCTTCAACGTTCCCTCACTGCTAGGCTGCTTGGCCACAGGGTCCTTTTGGCATAAGGAGAGGCCTAAGAACTAAGAAGTGTGTTGCCTTAGTGGGAAGGGTTCCGCTCTGGCAACTACAGTGAGAAGATACCCTGGCTCTAGAGCCAGAACTTGCTAACCCCACTCTGCTCTTCCTGTCTCCCCAGCTTCAGTCCAGCTGTTCCTTGGTGTCAGACATTGTCCTTGGCATGTGGACTCAGACCTGAATGCATACAGCCTCTCTTCTCAAAACTCAACCAGGAAACTCTCATACACCTCATTTCTGCTATACTAGACCAGAGACACAAAGTAAGGTCTCCCATGTATCTATCCCCCTAGGAGGTACCGGTACCTCACAGAGCACAGAGCCCTGGAGATGACAACTGGGTCCTGACCATCATAGGCAAGCTGAGATCCAAGTCTGGAACATTCTGGCCCACTAACCTGAACCAGGCAGGACCATTTCATAGATACCATCTAAAATAGGTTGACTCTAGCCATAGCTGACCCAGACCTCAAGCTATAGTCTAGCCTTGCACACACGAGGCCCAAATAGCCAGTGAGACAGGAGACCATCAAGGGAGGAGAGCTTTGTTGTTCCCAACCTCAACCCTACCCTACCCAGGCCTCAGTCTGTGGAACCAACTGCAGCCATGTTACCCAGCTACTCTGCCTGAATCTCTCTTCCCCAGATTTGGGTCAAAGTGGCTCTGACTTGGCCTTGGACCATCAAGCCTGCTTGCACATCCCACCTTACTACTAGTCCAAGTCACCTCCTCACCAGCCGGCTGCTCTCAGCTTCACCTGGTCTCTCAAGCTTCTACTCAGGCTTCCCTCTCCTAACGATGAATAGCTCCAGCTTATGCTTCATCACTTCTCAGTATCTCCCCCCGACCTATGATATTCCATTCGTGTGTGTGTGTGTGTGTGTGTGTGTGTGTGTGTGCACACGCATGCATTGTTTCTTCTTGGCCGCTCCTAGGCTGACTTGGATAGCTCCATCTTCTCTTAGACTCCTCCTACCACAGCTTCCGCACTCCTGGGTTGCAGAGGCAGTGTCATTAAATACTGCCTGAGTGAAAACTAAACGGTAACGTCATCATAGGAGTTATGTCCCATCACGGCTTAAGAGCCTTCCTAGGGAGGAGGTAATCAGACGGTGGGTTCCAGAGAAGCTCGGGATGCTGTGGGTGAGCAGAGCTATGATGAGGGCAGTAGTCTCCCATTCGCCTTACTTGAAAGGAAACTAGGCTCCTGGCTTCAAATTTTGGCTCCATCGCTCATTGTGCTCCTCTGTAAGGTAGGAATGCTGACACTTCTCCCCTGAGAGGGAGTCAGAGCTAGGTAGCTACACAGTACCTACTGTTACCTGTCAGCACAATGCCTGGAATATGAAAGTCTGTGGTGGTCATCTTCATGGCCTCCCAAGTCTGAGTGTTAGCTGGATCTACCCTATAGTCCTCTTACTTCACACCTCACAGCACACTTGCCTTCTTCCACCCTTCCTCTAGGAATTTCTGACTTACGGCTATTACCCTGTCTTGAGCCATAAGGGTAGGATAGGATCTGCTAGCCAAAATACCTACATGCCCCTCCAAATCATCTGATCACCTACAAAATCATGGTTTCCTTAGTGAGGAAGTAGAAGTCTGGCATGCACCTTGGAGCTTCCTGACTGAGCCGTTCCTCTCCGGGAGCACATCCATCTGGTGGCTGCAGATTGGTACCTGTGTGTGCATTCCTCTGTAGTGTAACCACTCATCTCTGTATCCCCAGACCTGGCCCAAAACCCAGCACAAAGTGGTGCTCAGATCCTGTGAACCACCATCTACACATAAGGCACAAATAGGCAGGGCTGGGGAGTGAGGAGGCCAGAGTCAGCTTTGCTCTCTCAGGAATAGAGTGTTAGGTTAGTGTTCACCCAGAGGGAAAAGACCCCCGCTCCAGCTGGTACAGAAGGGTCTTCTTCTGGTGTCTGTACCCCTGTAAGGAAGTGTGCAATGACAGGAAACCAGAACCTGGAGATTACTCCTGGTCTGGAACTTCCACTTGCATGCCTTAACTCTCACATGCCCAATCTTTCTTACGGACTCTCTGCTCTCCTGTCACTAGGGCTGAATCGTAGGTGTCACCTCAGGATCCTCTCTCCCTTCCATACCTTCTAATGTGTCAGTACACATCTCTACTTTCAAAATGTCTCTACTTTCAAAATGTGTCTATGTTCACACTGCCTGATCTTCCCCCGCACTAAGGTCAATACAACAGATTTCTGTGGCAGCCCTCACAGCCTAGCATCGACCTAACAGCAGGCTACCCCAGCTCCCCTGAACAACTCTCCACACCCCTTCCCATTTGAGAGGAGGGCAAAGTCCATGCAGTGGCCTGCAGGCTCCAAGCAATGGCTGTCCTCTCCCCTGGTCTGCTCCCACTTCTCAGCCCTCCCTGCAGCACCCTTAGTTCCCTGCTTGCTCCTCACACACGCTTCCCCTGACCTTACAGGAGAGGGGGAGGCACTCATCTCCAATTTCAACTCAGACTGGCCTCGAAATCTTCAGTTCGGCTACCATCCCCATACTACCTACCAATACCAAGTAATCTATCTCCAACTCTCCCTGTGTACCTAACACAGTGCCCGAGGCACAGTGCTGCTAAATAGAAGGAGGGGTGGGTGGAGCAAGAAGAGGCCAAATGTGGCCTTCATCTCCGGTCTGTAACTAAGCTGAGGATTACTGGTGTGAGCAACATCAGGAGAACAGTAGAGGTGGACCCTAATGGCCTGGAGCATTCCCTCAGTTCCTTTCCCCCTAATCTGCTCTGCCCCCCGGGAGAAAAAAAACAAAAAGGAGGGACTAACTGCCTCAGGCTGCCAGGCAAGGTCAAAGAAAGTCAAGCCTGGGCAGACCCAGTAGGGTTCCCAAACTTCCAACACTACCTCCCTTCCTCAGCAATGCGTCCTCCAGCTGCGTTTCCTCTTGCTAAAATTCCTTTGAAAATCCCTGTCCCTCCTGTCCTGGCTAAGCTAGGGCAGCTACTGGGAAAGGAGTCAAGGAGGAAGCCCACCGCTCACTTCCAACAGAGCATGCGTGAGCCAGGGAGCCTGGGAGAAGGCTCAACCTGAGGCTCTTCCTCACTGCAGGGCCCGAACTTGCCATCTGCCCACCTAGGGTCCCTGGCTAACAGGACCACAATGCGAGCCTGAAGGCGCAGGACCAAGGCTCTGCTCACTTTCTCAGAGGTTCCTCACTTCTACCCCTTTTGGCCTGGAGGCGGAGGGGACAGCCAAGCCTGGTTCTACCAGGGTGGCCCTAGTTCTATGCCTGTGACGTGGACCTTGAGTCAGAAGTAGGTTGGTCAGGGCGCATCGGGTCCAAGGCACAGGTGAGGGCCGGGCCCAGGAAGGCCTGAGGAGGCGACGGGTCCATCCAAACCTCCCGTCCCTACGCCCCGCCGCCCATGGTTACCTGTGCGAGTCCTGGTCTCCCCCGGGGGACGCTCCCGCCGGCGCTCAGTACGGGCGATTGGCGTCTTTGGGCCGCTTCAGCTGCACCTTGAGCCTCTTCATGCCTATCTGGAAGCCGTTCATGGCCTGGATGGCGGTCTGCGCGCTGGCCGGGTTGTCGAAGCTCACGAAGCCTGGCGAGACACGAGGGACCAGGGCCTGGGTTTCCACGGGGCCGCCCGGGGCCGCTGCAGGCGGGAGGGGAGGGGAGGGGCGGGGCTCGAGGCTCCGCCCCCGGCCCGGCCCGGCCTCAGCCCCGCCCCTCCGCCCGCAGGCCCCTCCCGGCCTGGCGCCCGGGCCCGGGCTCGGCTGCTCCTCGGCTCCCGGTGGCGCCGGCGCCCGCCCACCCCCCCACCCACCCCGGCCGGCCCGCCACCTCGGCCCTCTCCTCCCGCGGGAGAGGGCGGACACACCTGCGGGCGGAGGAGCTTATTGCACACTGTCCTCCCTGACAGGAGGGGGCCTGGCAGCGGGAGGGCACGGGGTGCCGGCCTGGGGAGAGAGAGGAGTGCGAGGGCCGGGAGGGAGGAACGTCGGGGAAGCCACTCCACCGCCCGGTCACCCCCACCAAACCCGCCTCACCCCTGGGGCTGTGCGCAGCCCTCGCCACTGTGGGATCTTCCTAACTAAGCACACACCACGTTCTGTACCAGCCTTCCTAGGGATGCAGAGCGCCTTCCACTACCGTTCTGCTCTGCGCTTCACGGCTAAACAACACAGGCAGATAGACCGGATTGTGGCTTAAACTGGGAAATCGCGGCGTTTCCTCATACAGACACCATGGGCCCTTGAGAAAAGGGTTTCTGTGGTCCAGCGGGCTTATAGTCAGGCCGCTAGGGACCAGAACGAGGGCCATCAAGTAAAAGCATACCCTCTTGCCACAAACTCTCCAGGAAATAAACCTTCAGAGCTTTGTTTAATTCATCCCGTTTCTGCTGTAAAAATGGACCTAGGTCCTAACCTTTGAAACTCAGCTTGGCTGACATGCTCAGGCTATACACAAGAGCATGCTTGCCTTTAGATGACTGTGAGATACATAAGCGATCATTGTGTGGCCAGACCGCATTCGAAGTAGCTGCTTTCCTGAATATTTGCTATGTACCTCGGGCCTGCCCCTGACTTCATGCTAACATAGCTACACCCTCTCTCCTGACTTTTTCATCTCGATTTCCTGCTCTCTCCTTTTCCATTCTCTCTGTCTCCTCAGACACTGCCTACATCTGGCCCTTCTCTCTTCCTCTTGTTTTATGCCTGCAATGCTCAATTTATTCATACAGTCATGGATCATGAAAGATGGAGGAAGAGGGTGTATGTGTCTCATTGTGCATATGTGGATGCACTGCATGCAGAAATGAGGAGAGTCAGGATCGGAGCATAAACAAACAAACAAACAGAGCATCAATATGTACACCAAATCAGCTGACTAATTAATCAGCCTCCAGTCGTACATCCCTTCCGGCTGTCTCCCTCCACTAACCTGTGTGTCTGATGACTAAAGTCAGGTGCTAAGCAGACCGGAGCGAGTTTTCAGTGTGAGTGTAAGTCTGTCTTCCCTGCTGTCTCCAGACTAAGGAAGATAGATGAGCCTCTGTCCCTTCTTGAGTGCGCCCATTTTCCACCCCCACATGGACATCTCTGGTACTGACTCTACTTGGACACTCAGGTTGGGTGACTCTTTCTGACAGAAAGAAGGGCAAAGCTGAGAGAAGAAGCTCAGAGTTGTCTGAGATGAAGCCAAAAGGAGGGATAGCCACCTGCTTGGTAGCAGTTTGCAGCAGCCAGCTTCCAGGAGAAGCAAGTGCTTTCTGGGAGCCACAGAGTGTTTCTGAGCCCAGGAGAACAGACCCTCCTCATCTAGCTTCACCAAACAACTGCAGTCAGGGCAAAGTCTGCCTGCAGCCTGGACACCCCTGTGAAGAGGGCTCTGGGCACTAGGCCTCATGTTTGTTCCTGTGCCAGAGAACCTCCTATCCCACCCTCAAGAAGTTCCTGCCTCCCAACTGAAAAGCTTCAGAGGTAGGATGTTCTCCTTCCAAGGTAGGGGCATTTGTGCTGTCCATTTTGTCATGAAGCCCTGGAAGGCTTTGCTAATATTTATGCAGCTTCTGAGGGGTAGAGGTTACCATAGGACCCTGTGATTATGGCCACACTCTTCATAAGAAAAGGGGCTATGGCACCTACAGAAGGTCTGCTGAGAATGCCAAGCTTCTGCCATTGACAGTCTCATAGACCCTTACAGGGTGGATCCCGTAGGGATAACTGCAGCATCTCTACTTTGTAAACAAGGGCATTGAGCTTCAAAGTGTTCAATGACTTGCCCATGAGTGAGCACTAGAGGTCTCTGAGAGGGTGGGGGGAGGCAGAAGGCTCTGGCCCAGGAGGCCCAAGTGGCTTAAGGGGGAGCAGAAGCTAGACCAATATGACAGAAGCCTAAGGGAAAAAAAAAGAAATTCAACAGAGGTGTACATAAGATGGTTTCCAATACAGCGAAAAGAAACCTTGGTCCTGGAGAGTATAAATAGTCTTTGGGACTAAGCGTAGTTTGGGGGATAGACACTCAAGTAACCTTGAAAACTGGGTTGTGTCCTAAGGGACAGCCAATAAGGCAGATGTGATCTGTCTAGAGGCTCCTAGAGGTGTTCTTTATGTGATTTCTGTGATGTAAATGACAGTTGTGACTTCCAGTTGGGCTTTATACAGGTCATTTTAATCCCCCAAAAAACAAAAACAAAACAAAACAAAACAAAACAAAAAATGCCACTTGGGAGAAGCACAGCTATGTCTTTTTCTCTGTTTTTCCATAGCCAAAGAGAAATGAGACACTGGGGCAACTCTTCTCTGATCTAAGAAACATGAGTTTCCTGTGATAAATGCCAGATGGGAGGGCCCAATGGTGCCAAGATCTTGACTGTCCTAAGGGACACACCCTGAATCACCAAGATTTTCATGATTCCTTACTGGAAAGGCCTGATCTTAATGCTTCCTGGTGTTTCTCCACTCTGTGCTTCCTTGCCTCCACCATCCCTATGTTCCCTGGCTGTCCTCATATCCCAGAGTCTGAGAGTCAACATGAAGCTTTGTTAGACTCAGCCCCGGCTCAGTGCAGGCATTCTGTAGGTTGCGTACTCTTGGGGACTCATGCGTAGATATTGCCCTAGAAGAATGCTCTGATGGAGGTAAATGGAAAGGTGGGAGATGGACCAAGAAGGAGCTGAAAGAAGAAGCGTGAGCATGAGACAGGATCCCATGGCATCTGGACCTGTCTGAATGAAGATACCAAATTTATAAAACAAGACATAGGATGCCCAATCAAAGACTTCTCACAGATTGGCGCTGTCTAGTGCAGTCCTCCCTAGCGAATACTGTGAGCCCCTTGTCTCCCAAAGCCTCGTCCCCTGTCCTGTCCCTCTTCTCAGTCCAGCCTCATGCCCCTTCTAGCCATTTCTGACTTCCTTACTGCTGCACTGCTTGGCATCTTGCTGCTGTTAAGTAGGTGTGGTTTCTTTTGGGCTCAGAACTTAGACTTCCTGAGGGCAATCTCCTCCTGGCTCCTCAACAATGCCCACTTTGGTGGCCTGGAGTGGGTGTAAGGGTGGGGTCATGGTGTGGCATGAAGGGAGCAAGGTCCAGGGGAGGCATAGGAAAGGTGGCAGGACAGAGAGGCGGAGAGATGGCTAAAGGGCAGGTAGCTAGGGCCTCCGTGGGCTGGCTGTCTCTGGGTCACTGGCTTTTGCCCTGGGGGCTCAAACCAGACTCTGAACATGAGAGACTGTTGGGAAGATGAGTTGTACTCTCTGATTCTGCATGCTATCCCCCCACCCCCAACCACAGTGACCCCTTCCCTTTCTTGGCCGCATGAACTGGGCTTTGGGGCTAGAAGGGGATTTCTTGGGCTGGGAGATGGAAGCTGAGTGTGGGTAGAGAAAGCTGAGAAGCCAAAGGAAGAGCAGAGCAGAAAAAAAGGACTGAGAGATGGAGGCTGGGCCCAGGAGCACCTGGGGCAGTGTGAAGGAGCAGGAGGAGTCGGAGGGAGCAGCCCCCATCCTAGGTGAAGCTGAATGGTTTGTTATCTTTACCCACCAAAGCATTTACTTTGGTTAGTCGCCCGATCCACAAACACTTTCGAGGAGATGACATTACCGAAAGGGAGGAACATCTGCATCAGCTCAGCGTCCCCAAACTCCTGGGGCAGATGGTAGATGAGCAGGTTACAGCCCTCGGGCCCTGCGGTGAGGGGAGGGGGTTGGACAGGGAAGAGGGATAGCGGGTGGGGGAAGAAAGAGACAGAGGAAAGGTAAGCGAATTAGGCAGTGTAGCAGGGAGGGAAGGGTGGGGCTAGGGCGTGAAGTGCGTCAAAGAAGCAACCCCTAAAGAATGGGGAAGGTTTACTGAGCCCCAAGTATTAGCTCTAATCTCCACTTGGCTATGGGTAAGTCACTGGATCTTTCTGTGGTCTTTTAGCAAGCATCAATAGTGGGCACCCTAGCAGTTCTGGGGTGACTATGCCAAGACCATATCATCTGTGTCTCTGGAAACAAGGTGCTGAGGAAAGATCACAGAATTTGTGGCTATTCCCTCCTGCCCAGTCTATGTTCTGGGAAGGGTTGAGAAAATGGCCCTCATCCTATGCTGGTGCCACTTCACTTTCTCTCCCATTCAGACTCAGCTCAGACTGGCAGAGAGCTTAAGAGACAGTGCATAGGCCCAGTTCTTTGCCTGGCCTGTAGTCTTCACATAGATTCCTTCCAAAGGCCCGGCTACTGTGGTCCATACCTTACATTCCTTCCTAGTCTTGATGACAGAAAACAAGATTTTTCCTTCTGGATCCAGCATGTGGCACAGAAACAGCTTCAGACTCCACAGTTGTCAGGGCACCCCTGAGCTGCCTCTTGTCATTTGAGCAACAGCCAGAACGCTTCCACCCTGAGGACATCCTTGGGCTGTGCTAAGCACTTTGTATGGGACTCACCCCACCATCTGCATCCTCTGGCTTAATTACACTGTCACTACTTTGCAGCTGAAGTAACTGAGTTCTAAAGAGATTAAGTCATCTGCCAAAAGATGTCTTGGTGGTGGCGGTGGTGGTGGAGGAGGAGGAGGGTGAAGCCAGGATATGAACCCGGGGTGTAGCCTTCATAATGTGAGCTCTACTTTCTGCCTACCTGTCCTGAACCCTAACTTTCCAGGCTTCTTTGTGTTCTTGGAACTTGCAGATAGAGCTATTTCTTTTACAATGGTCAAAGGATCAATTCTAAGCACTTAAGTGGAAATCTTCCCTAGTCTGTGTCCTGTCATTCTACAAAGTACCATGTATCCTTTAGACTTTGAGGTGACTTGAAGTCGCTTCAGTGAAGACATCTAAACATGAACTCCAGTGAGGGCTTGCCACCAACCACATGGCTTAGGCAGCCAGACTCTATTGTCCTACTCACTAAGGACCAGTGGGGCAGCCAGATAATCCAGCATGGGGACAAATAACTGGCTCTGGATGCTCTTCTGCCCTCCCACTATCTTCTTTTTTCTGACTACCTCACCACTTCCAGGCCCAGAGCCAGAAGAAAATTCCCTTTGTCCATTAAAGCCACCTGCTAAGCCACTGACCTTTCCTGTCCCTGGCAGCCCCTCCTCCTAGAACCTCTGTCGGTGGATGATGGTGCGTTCAGAACCAGGCATAGGCGTGCTTCCTTTCCACCACCCAAGCTTTGTGGCCCTTCTTTTGTCCTGTGTGCTCCAACCATGTTCTTGCTACTATATACCAGCTGAATGTACCTCTTGATGGTCCCTTGATATGGCCATCTTGGAGGAAGAAACCACCATGAAGACCAATTTAAGTCACAGTCCTCCAGAACTCCTCCAGATCCTCTCTCCAAACTCTAGCTCCCTGAGACTTCTTCTGGCCTTTCCCTTCTGGTGACACAAGTCTGTATTGGGCTGGGTTTTTTTCTTCACATCTGAGAGGTTTTCTCTCCAACAATAAGGTCACTCACTATGGCAGGGCCATCTGCCTTCTTCCATCCATGTCTCTCTTGTGGTCCAGCATATGCCTTCCCTCCTGTTCTCATCGACACTCTTCACATCTTCCTTGGTGGCTCTACCCCATGCTGAAAACTGCCTTGGAATCGGGACCCTGACTCCAAATTTAGACTCCTCTATGGCCCTTCAGAGACATCAGCTCAGTCTGTCTGCAAGGTTACCCTAACTGGGATGTTAGGAGCCGCTATTGTCCCCATGATTAACAATGTTCTTGTATCCCCAACTCTTTCTGCTTTGCTTCATTCACAGAATCTAGTTCAACCAGAGCAATGGTGACATGTAGCTTCAGAGACAGAAAGTTGCTCTCCCTGACCACACGTAGACCCAGGCAGAGCTGCAGCCATAGTCATCCCAGAGATCCTGTGCCATCTGTGCGGCAGGTGGCCTGGGGTAAGGCTCAGGGATCTGTTGGTTTCCAAGCTCAGCTCAAATACTAGGAGCTGGCAGGAGGGTTCTACCCAGCTACCACTGTGCTCTTGGAGAGGCAAGCATGACGTAAGAGGTCACTATAATGAAGCTGAGGGAATACAGCCTTCTTTCCTATCCAGGTTTCATATGTCCAGTGGGACCTGGCTTTATGTGCTTCTGTCTCACCTTTCTGTCTCCTGGGCCCTAGGCTTACCTTATGCTTGGTAATGTCTTTTGTTCCTGATGTCCCTTACCTGTAGCATATATCTCTCTACTTCTGTGTGCTAGAGTCTTCCTCCTTCCAAGCCCAAAACCTGCTCCCAATGTCATAACTCAATGGTGTATGCAGCATGATCTTGTATATCACGGTCAGGAGAAAGGGAAGGGTCTATGGAATAGTTCAGCTCCAAGGAAAGGACTTGTGAACTCTAAGAGGACTGTGGCATAGGACCTCATATGAGGAGCAGGGTGTGGCTAAGGTTGCAGAGTTGTAAAACTTATGAGAAGAAGGCCACAGCTAGATCCACAAGGTAGAACAGAATGGGAATTGGAAGCAAGGGGGCAGGAAGCAGGAGACTTGAGTTTAAAGACAGTAGCGAGGGCTGTCATGTGTGATGAATGATTATGGCACTAAGATGCAGTGTGTTTGAGTGTGTATGTGCGTGTGTGAATGTGTGTGTGTGTCTGTGTTTGCATGTGTAAGTGTTTGCATGTGAGTGTATGTTTGTGCTGTGCATGCACAACAGAGTTCGGGGATTCCTAGGTTTTTAAGACAGATTCATGAAGGGATCTGAGTACAGTGAGAGATAAGCAAGTAACAAGAGCCGTGAGGCCTTTGGGTACAGCTCTCCGCTCTGCGTCCGGATCAGCAAGCCTGGTCCATCCCTTGTGGCTCTGACCTAACTGAGAAAGATCTGGGCTGCAGGAAGGCACACCCCAGGGAAGGCTCTTCGGGTGAAGCAGGGCCTTGAGGGACTGCCCCTCTCTGCCCAACTGAAACGGAAGTTGGTTCTCAGCTACTGCAGGGCATGGGGATAAGGAAAGGGAAAAGACCACCACAGACCTCTTGGGTCCTGGGTATGGGTACAGGAGAGCAGACCTGAGTGAGTTTGATACACACATTTCTCTAAGAAACTGTCCTCACTGTCTCATATAAGTGGTGGAGAGGAGTGACTTGTGTAGAGTCACCTAAGCAGGCGGTGACCAATCCAGGGGTCAGACCCGGGGGGGTGTAGTTTGAAATACATACTTCCAATCATTCAGGAACTACAAGTCTGTTAGGGGTCTCTCTCCCCAAAGATATTTGGAGCAGTGGGTTCTCAAAGTCCTTTTGGAGTAACCTAAACTCCAGATCACTGATGTAATCTGCTACAGCGACCACACATCTGACATTCGGAAACCAATGGAACATGCCTTGTGGACTTCTGGGACAGGTGTTGTTACAGTTCACTATTACTAGGAGGTGAAGAAGATGAGGTCTTGTTGATGTCCCTCTGCTTCTCAAGTCCACTTTTCTGTGGCAGGGCTTCTGAGACAGTTGCTCAAACAGCTTTTCTCTTTGCTAATTCTGTGGCTCTCTGGTTACTGGAACCCAATGAGTGACATCAAGTAGGCTCTACCAAGGCTCTGGTCTTGTCTGTCCTGTTCTACCAACACTCCGATATCTATACACAACCTTTACAGGGCATCCCTCTGCACTGCCACTGCACTGCAGCTGCAGACACCTCATCCTGCCTGTGGAGTCTATCCAGGAGTGCTGCCTTTCTCTCCCGATCACCGGGAGGGTATATGTGTCCTGTACATGACAAACTTGCCTCCATTGCTTAGCCCTTCTAGCCACTAGCATTATTTCTCCCTGCCCTCCACTCTGGGCAAACCCTACCTATCAGGGAAGACAGGTGTCCTCTACTTCCTCCTACAGCACCTCACTTCCCTGGTTGCCTCAGGCTAGTCACCATTTCCTTCTCAGTGCTCAGGATTGTGAAGGCTGCCCCAGTGCTGGAGCCTCACCTCCCAGCTCTGCTCTCACTCACTGGACACACACCAGATGGACTTCAGATGAACGCTCCAGGGAGTAAGCCTGTGTATTCCCCATCTCCATAAAGCTGAGAACTCCCTGGAGCAGGGACAAGGCCTCCACCAACAAATACATCTTCAACCTCTTCTAGGTCTTGTTTAAGAGTGATGGAAAGGGTTTGCTCAAGAAGGAAAACAACCTTCCCATTCTCAAGGGTTGACTTTTAAAGACCATGGTACTTGTAGGTGAGCTGTGTCAGACCACTGGCAAATGACGGTGGGATGTGGGGAAGGGGCGTGGTCTCTGGTCATCTGCCCCTGGACCAGGCTACCACTTTGGCTTTCAGAGCTGCCCACAGGATGCACATCTTTTTGTATGAATAGGCGAGGACTTCTTCTGGCCCTATAACTCTCCCACCCACTTTCATGCATACATTTAACAATGTTCCTGTCAGAGGCCTGGAGAGACCAGAAGGCCAAATAAAGCAGCCTCTTCAGGGAGTGGGGAAGGGCGGGGCCAAGACTCACCTTCTCTCTGTTGCTGGGGAATCATTGGTGGTGGCTGAGGAAAGGCCTGGCTTATCTGACCATAGGCAGCAGGGTAGGCAGCTGTTGAAGAGCCGAAGAGAAAGTGAAGAGATGGCAACAGGGTGCAGAGAGACACAGACAGGATGGGAAGCCAGAATAAAGAGAGAGAGAGAGAGCTCAGTGTCAGAGTCACCAGCCACAAGGTGGACAGAAACTCAGGCAGTTCACAGAAAGCAGCTTTCAGTATGGATTACGTGTGCACACAGGCAACTCGAATCTGAAACAGTGGACAGCCATAGCTGACCTATCCTCACTGCTGCTCAGAGGATACCTGGTGGGAAGTAAAGCGCTGGCTGATGGTGTATAGGTGTGTGTTCCCTAGGAGTGTATCTGATGTTCTGTTTGGTTAGAGAAGGTCAGAGGGAGGGCAGGAGGACCATCTCTCTTGGCAGCCTAGCCTGGCTCCCACAGCTGCAGAGCCTGAGGTTAGAGCTGGGGTAGGGCCAACAATAATAGAGGTTTGTCTTAGCTCCAGTTAAGCAAGGACAGTTTCCGCTGAGCTCCGGCCTTGTAAAGTAGCCCCATCATCCACAGGGGCCATTGCTAGATCTCTGAAGTCATTGAAGAATTGCCTTAGCCAGGCTGGACAGTGGGCACAGGCTGAGTAGGGATGAAAAGAGTATGTGGCCAAGTGGTGGGACAAAGGAAGACAGTTTGGCTGGGTTCTGTAACGCCTGGCCTGCTGGCCCCAGGCTGTCTCTTCCTGCCTGCCTGTTCGTTTTGCTGTCTCTCCTCTGGACTCCATTTTGCTTGCCTGGAGAGGAGAAGCTTCCCCACCAGAGTCCCTCCTCCTCTCAAACCCAGGCCTCTGCTTCCCGGGTCAGAGACCATGAACTGTATATAGCAGCAACCGACATAGCTGTGTGGTAACTGTGTAGGACATGAACACAAGGCACATTGGTCCTGGCAATCAGTGCAATGCAGACAGAAAATCAAATGTGTTACTGCTCTACTGTAGCTCACCAACTCAGGGAGTTCTGGCCCTCCCTCCACCCCCATGCCACAGCACCATGTAGAGAACCTGAGGTGGAAGACAGCCCAGTGGTGATGGAAGAGAGTACCTCTGCCAGCACCACCCTTCCTCCTTCCATCTAGAGCCTCTGCTACTCCCTCCCTTCCTTATGCAGGGCTGGGACCAGATCTGGAGAGCAAGGCGCCCCTGGTGCAGGTATATGAAGATCTAAGTACAGCAAGTGAAAGAGCCAAGGGGCTGCATGGATACTAACGTCCTGCATACTGCTGCACTCCAGCGTAGGCCTGCTGCAGGGGGTCCGCTGCGGTGGGGCTCTGTGCTGCAAGAAGGCAAGAGAGCAGAAGTCAGTGACGCCCACCCAAACTAGTCCCTGTCCCCACAGTGCCCAAAGGGATACCACTGTGGCTGTGCTGCCTTCTCCAGTCACCACAGGCTGTTCCTGAGTCAGGGCAGCTGAGACAGGCACCCTGAGAGCCGGGGTGTTTTTGGAGTTCTCTCTTCTGTACCCAGAAACTCGAGCAGCTACACAGTTGTTTATTCTAACTGGGAAGTGTATGTGAAGCTGGCCTGGTGTGGGGCTGAGATCAGTTCATGCAGAAGCTTATGCTGGCTGGGAAGAGATGTCAGACCATGAAGGCCTTGGTGGAGAGACACGAGGGCCCTGGCTTGAAGAGGGATTGAGGAGCCAGGGATGGTCAGGTTGGGGGCCTCTTGTTTACAGATTCCAAGAAGAATGTAGACACAGTGCATTAAAACAAACAAACAAACAAGCAACACCAGCTTGTATATTGCATACAAGTGAAATAAAGGCTCTAGGAGGACTCACTCTGACACTCTGTCCCTGTGCTGGGTAATTTTTTATTAATGTGACAAAGCTAGAATTATCTAGGAAGAAGAGCATCAACTGAGAAAATGCCTCCATCAGACCAGCCTTTAGGCAAGTCTGTAGGACATTTTCTTGATTAATGTTGGATGCAGGAGGGCCAAGCCCATAGTGGGCAGTACCATCCTTGGACAAGTGGTCCTGAGCTACATAAGAAAGTGGGCTGAGCAAACCACGGGGAGCAGTCCACTAAGCAGCACTCCTCTGTGGCTTTTGCTTCAGTGCCTGGCTCCAGGTTCCTGCCTTGGCATCCCCCACTGTCCTGTAGCCCTTGTTACTTTAGCCAAATAAACCCTTTCCTTCCAAGTTGCTTTTTATCATGATTATTACCACAGCAATAGAAGGCAAAATACATCACTTCCCTTGGGTCTGCCAACAGGACTTGGAGAAAGATACCACCCAAAGAAATCAAGGCACTAGTAAAGAGGAGCCTTGAATCAAAACTTGAGCAGACCTTCTGAAAAACTGGACTGGGGAAGGTTTGCTTGATCCCTGGCCTTTGTTGCTGCTAAGATCTCAGTAGAAGAATGAAGTATGGGCCAGCAGTGTGTGCAGCCCTTGGTTGCCAAGGACAGCAATGGTTGACTGCAGAAAAGGGCTGGCCCAGGAAGATGTATGGAGATAGACATCCACACACTGGGAGGATCCAACCTCATTATTCTTGAAAGAAACAGAAAACCCTGAAGTGGCAGAAAAAAAGGCTTCCTGGGCTCAAGCGCCCTTTAACCAGCCAAGCCTGTCAGGCCCCAATGCCTTTAGTAATGGGAACTCCCGCTTCCTTATGAGCTCTTGTCCATGAGCCTTTGGCTAAATTTTCTCGAAAACAAAAAACAAAAACAAAAAACAAAACAAACAAACAAACAAAAAACCCACAGCACCCGGGGTTCAGAGGAACCTTGAGAACAGCCTGGGACAAAAGTCCTTAGGGACAGGCAGGTGACAGATAAAATACCTCCTGTGGCTTCTGCTTCAGTTCCTACGTACACACACACACACACACACACACACACACACACGGGGGGGGGAAGGGAGGGAGGGAGGGAGGGAGGGAGGGAGAGAGAGAGAGAGAGAGAGAGAGAGAGAGAGAGAGAGAGGCTCTCCTTAGCAGAAGGAAACTGAACAGGGATCCTTTGAGCTATTTTCTGCCTGAGACTGTCCCAACCCAAAGTTCAATCTCTACATTTTCCTATGGTGGAGGATAGAGCCAAGAACTCCAAGCTGTGATATTTGGCAGAGCTAATTTCTGCCCCCTCTCACCTATCTCCTTTGCTTTCTTCTGAGCGCTCTAGAGTGGCAGTCATATCTGGTTTGTTGTTTCAGTCTTCCCAGATGCTCACCCATTCAACACCTTTACAGATGTAAGAAATGGTGCCCTTTTCTTACTGCATGAAGTTTGAAGCCAATGTGCATAACAATCTGCACAACTTAGAGGCAGTGCCCAGTATATTGCTAGGAGCTCAGTAAACAGTGCATTGGGAAAAAAGTAGAAATAGTTCTTGGTGCTTGTCAGAGCCAGTTCTTTGAGGGTTGTGCGTGGCCATTAAAACCACACACATTATGTACTTCCAACATGGTCATGAGCAAAATGGAAGAACAGAGACTCGAGTGGGGCTAACAATTGGAGAGAAGCGCGCAGAGACCCCTCTCTGCTTCTCTGCCTAACGACCTCATCAGTAACTGCCGAAGTGTGAGCATTTTGAAGGATCTCGCTCATTACAGTGGCTCCAAACTACGCAGTTAACGATGGTAAATTAATTTTTTTTAATGTACTATGTTTCTCCTTTCCTTCCCTTCATCCCTCCTCTGGTTCTGTCAGGGAATTGTTTATGGGATATGGCAGATTGTTACAAATAGGGGAAAAAAGCATCTCCAAGCTCAATCAGAAAAATGGCTCACAGATGTCAGTGAGGGTGGGGATGGAATTGGAGATCCAGATGGGCTTAGAGGCAGAGAAGAGTGGAGGGAGAAGACACCCAGATGTGCCAGCAGCAGATCTGACATGCTTGAGATTAGCAGGGTCACTTCTGCCTCCAGTAGGCCAAACCCCTCCTCTACCACCTGTGCCAGGCAGGAGTCCCCATGCTTAAACAGCACCCCCAATCGCCTGGGCTCTAACAATATTAGCCTCTTGTGCTTATTGGGTCTACATCCTAACAACCCTGCCCCTTCCCAGCAGGCCTTTTCCTGCCTCTTGGTTTCCAGGAGGTTCTCATCCCAGGGCTGCTGAACTCTCATTTCACTTGAGTCCCTAGTCGTGTTTAATCAGAGAACATTCCCTCTTGATAAACTCAGGTGTGCTGTTTAAAGGTGAAGAAGGAAGGTAGATATTGTGCTCTCAACCCAACTTTGACCTCCTAGGGGACAATCCAATGTCCTGGAATCCTAGAATCTAGTGAAGACTTGGCTTTCATGACTCCTTTCCTCTGTTCTCCAGAAAGGAGAACTGTACTTTGCACATCTCTATTATGGTAGTCTAGGACTCTGGACTCTGCTTCCCTGCCCTGGTATCTGTCATCCTTCGTATAAGAAGAAAGAAGTGCATTGGGACAGTTGCATGCGCTTGCCTTGTGAGTTCCACTGAATTTGACAGAAGTAAAGTCAATCTCCAATCAGAAACGGGCTTCATTGTCACAGTTCACCTCCTGAGCACAGACCAAGGAGCTGTCCGACGTTCTGACTTTTTTTTTTAAATGTGTACCAAAAAGACTGGACTGGAATGTGATGGTCCGTCAAAAAACCATTCAGATCATTCCCCAATAAGTCCTTTGTTACTTATCACTAAATGTGGTTATTCTTTTAGCTCCTGCCCTCCTAGATTACAGCTCAAGTTCACACTGGATCAAATTGTAGTTACTGGCCTCTTTGCCAACCTTGGTTGTACAATTGCTTCCCGTATCTTTTCTTCCTGAACATAGTCCCTAGAATGGAATTATTTATTATTGATAAGCAGACACTCTCCATGTTAGGATTTTGGTCCTTTCTCTCTCATTACAGGCTCCCTGAAACAGGAAGGTGGCTGGCCCTCTTCTGTTACATTTGTGGAGCAGAGGGCCGGAATTGTGTATTCCTTCTTCTAACAGTGAGCAAGGGAAGAATGGACAAGATGTCTGCTACTTTGGGAAGGAAAAGCTTACCTGGGTAGGGGTGAATGCCATTGGCAAACACAGCTTCTGCAGCAGGCTGCCCATTGGCCTGTGGGGGGAGGCCGGTGAAGCCGTTCACCCCAATGGGGGACGGGATGCTAGGCACAGCTGGTGCAGTGATGCCTGGAGGGGTGCTGCCACCTGGTTTAGGAGAGGCAGAGGGGTTGGGGAAGAGAGAAGGCAAGGGCAGCAGAGGTGAGGAAGGCTGAGCATGGAGTTCTACTTTGCTACTTCTCAGGACTTTGAGACAGTCATGGTCCTCATACAACTACCCTATCTTGTTGGTAAACTATGCCCTGGCTTAATTTCTTGAATTGAATGTTTTCATTCATCCCAGATTACTCATTGTTCAAAGTAGAGCCCCTATCCCATGATGATTCTCTAACCACTGAGTGTAATCCTTGAATCTAGAGCACACAAACTTATCCTCAGTGTCCTTGACTCTGACCACACTTGGCCCTTTGTTCTTTTTCAGTAGGTCTTGTGCACTCCAGCCAAGTCAGGATTGGATGGTTCTTTTTGAGGCCATGAAAGGCTTATCTGCCTCTCCCAAGAAGTTTTGCTATTCAGCCTGAGGATTCTAGATCCTTACACTGAGGGAGACATTTGTGACTAGACTTTAGTGTCTAGTCAGCCCTGTTTGGCTTCCTTCAGCAGAAGTAATAGTGGTTGTCATGATAGTGATGGTTCCATGGATTCCATAGACGATGCATCCATATTTCAGGTGGGGGATTGCAAGACAGAGGTATGTTACTGTGCTGAGGCCCTGCAGGATAGAAACAGTCAGTCTCTACTGTACCATTTTCCAGACCCATGAGTGTCCCTGAGGTGACCAGAACTAAGTAATAGGGCTATAGTTGAGCCCAGGAATATTTCAATTTTTTGTGGCTTTGAGCTTGGAAAGGAATAGCTGGACCTCAGGAAGGTTACTGCTGTTGTCTGGTATAGAGAGCCAGAAAGCTTGGTAAAAGGGAGCCCACCATATCAACTCATCCTTAGACTTAGAGCCTAGGGCTTCTCAGTGTAGACCCCTTAGTCTTTTGAAGCCAGATAGTTCTTTATAGAAAGCTGCATTGTGAGATGCAACAGCTCTCTGGCCTCTACACACTAGATGCTAGCCCTCTCTATTATGAGTTGTGGCAAACAAAAGTGTCTGTGGACATTGCCGTATATCCTAGGGGTGGGTGACAAAATTGTACTGGACAAGAGCCAAGAGCCAATCAAAAACACGTTTTGTGAGATGGGTTGACTCCAGTACTCATCCATGGATGAATCATGTGGTTCTTTAGCTGGTTGTGTAGTTTTTTGGGAAATGTCAACTCATCAAGGTTGACTTAAAGAGAAAGGCAGAGCCATGCTGAACTTCAAATGGGAACGCTTTCATGTCACTCTCTTTCCAGACATTAGTTGTTTTAGGCAAGGACCAAGGACAGACAACTTGAGAGAAACTATCTCCCCCTGAAATCTTATTGTGGATTTCATGGTACCTACATCTCAAATCCTCTTGGGCTCCTACAGATTAGAACATTTTTGAGACAAAATACTTGGGCCTAGACCCCATGTGTTTTTACTACAGAGCAAAGCATTAGTAGCTGTGACGATGCCCAAGCCTGGGTCCTGCTATTCTTTCCCCAGGTCAGAGATTGATGGGCTCACCTGAGGTTGGGGTCATAGGTGCGGCTGCCAAGCCATTCATGTTGAGGGCTGCCATCTGCTGCATCTGGGCGGCAGCAAAGGCAGCCATGGGATTCAGGTAGCCTCCTTGCGCGACCGATGCCATGAGGGCTGCTTGCTGTTGCATCAGCTGAGGCAGAGGGAGTGGAAAAAATATCACAGGCTTCCAAGGGGGCAGCCCTCCCACCAGGGGCTCAGCTCCTGGGCACCAGCCTCTGAGCCTCAGGGAACTGCTACAGTCTTTTGGTCTCTAACCCTAGAAAGCCCTGAGGCCTTCCCCCTTGCCTGCCTTAGTCTCCACTTTCCTGGGAACTGACTTGCTGGTTTAAAAAGGAACAAACAGTAGGGCCTTTGGAAATCTAAGTTTTGCAGGTTGAAGGAAAGAGGTTCACGCTATGTATGCTCATATGCTCCCCAGTCTGTGTAAGACACATTGTTCTGGGGAATGGCATCCAGACTCCTACAGACCTGTTGGATGAGCCATAGACAGCCAACCTGATAATCTGCTCAAATTTGTCATATAGAAGAGACAAGAGAAACATGACTAGACCCCCAAATGTTATTACAAAGATGAGTGGGGACTGTTAAGGCTGCTGTAAATGGTCAAGGCTAGACTCTGCTCAAGAAGAGAATGGTATTTCTAGGAGGGTTAGAGCCAGAACCCTAGAGGACCTAAGTGCTGCCATGCAGGGATGATGGTCACAAGTCTGGAGGCAGTACTTTAGACAGGATACCGCTGTGGAAGAATCAAGTGGTTGTGGCCAGAGGCAGGGGAAGAGTGGGTACTTGAGGCTTTCGGTCTCTTCACAATTCCCTCCAGAGGTGACTGAGGAAAACCTCTGTAAATAGAGTTTGTGGAGTAAGGACCAACTGCTTGACGTTACCGCACTGGTGTTCTCTAGCCTTCGCAGTGATTTTTTTTTGGGGGGGGGTGCAGGGGTGAACCATTTGTCTACCCTACCAAGGATCTTATCTGGGAACTCCTCCATGAAAATAAGGACAACATCCCACCTCCTCCTAGCAACGATCTCTACCTGGATCTCCTCTTAACTCCTGAGACTGCACTCTGGAGTTACGCCTGATATTCTTTGCTCTGGGGACAGGGTAATGTTTGGGTAGGCATCCCTGTTCTCTGGCGCTGGGGCAAGGGAAGCTCCATAACAAACCCCTGCCCACCCTTGCCCCCACTTACTGCCTGAGCGTAGGCGCCATAGGCTCCGAAGGGGATGGCCATGGGGTTGAACATGCCCATCTGGCCAGCCATCTGCTGCATCCGTCTCATTGTACGCTCCTTGTCAGTGTCTGCAAACTTGACCACCAGGCTGGAGGAGGCTCCCTGCAATCAGGGTGGCACATAAGATTCGCTTGCCCCAGTCTTCAACCCCCGAGTCCCTGCTCTGGCCCGCCCCACACCCGTGCTTTCTGTGGGGTGCTATACTGAGGTCACCCATGAGTACCAATTTTAAACCCCACCTTTTCTCGGTTACCTAAATCTACCCTGTTTTGAGAAACAGTGGTAAGATGGATGAGACCCTGCACACATCCCGAGGGTCACACTCACAGGCATGGTCTGGCTGCCATGTAGCGCGTTGATGGCGGCCTGTGCCTCGGCGTGGGAGGAGTACTTCACAAAGGCGCACCCTGTGGGGATAGGATAGGCTGAACCATGATCCTGAGAATCCAGCAAAAGAGAGACATGCAGACAGGGACAGAGACAGGGCAAGTGGAGAGGACAATTCCCCCCCCCACACACACACACCCCATATGAGCATAAAATGTGAAGGGGGCAAGACAGTGACAGAAAGGGGCACAGAGCAGAGACCCACGGCCCCCTCTCCTCTTGATCTCCTCGAGGACCACCTGACGGTGGTGCTAGCATGGAAGCAGAGGTGTTACAGCGTGGGCAAGGTAGTGGTGGAGGGGAGGGTGGGAGGTGCGGGGTGCAGAGCATCCAGAGCAAGCGCACACATGCACACGCACACGCGCACAAGCACACACACACACACACACACACACACACACACACCCTTGCTGTTGCCGTCCGGCCCGCGCAGGATAGTGCACTCCTCGATGTTCCCGAAGGCTTCGAAGAGGCGGCGCACGTCGTCCTCGGATTGTTGCTTGTTGAGCATACCCACGAAGAGTTTTCTATCTTCTAGAACAAAATAAGGAGATGCTTACCCGGGCCAGGGGCAGAACACAGGGGAGGGGGTAGGGGGAGGATTCGCCGGTAAAAGGGCGAGGCCAGAGAGGGAGGGAAACCGGGTAGGGGAGGAGCCTGTTGGAAGCGGGCGGAGCTGACAGCCAAACGGGGAGTGAGAGGGAGGAGCTTGGCGGGAGGCGAAGGAACTCACAGCCAGAGCAAAAGCAACTGGGAAGGTGAGGTAGAAGCTCCGCTGGAAGGGATGAAGCTCACAGGTGGGTGGGGCAGGAAGGAGGAGCTTGGCTGGAAGCAGAGAGGTTACAGCGTAGGCAAGGTAGTGGTGGCAGGGAGGGTGGGAGGCGCGGGGTGCAGAACATCCAGAGCAAGTGAGCGAGGAGCGAGAGATAACAACGACTCCCTCTACCTCCTCCTGCTAGAAGGCAAGTTTCTGAGAAACCTGGTCCCGGGTCTGACTTCTAGGGCACACTGGTCATCTAGGCTGCCTTGTGTGCCCTTCTTCTCTCTAAGCCCCATCTTCTCTAGTGCAAGAATGAGGTGAAATAGGCAGCCTTCCCAGAACCTTGGGAACGCTCTGCTTGGATGGTCCTGGGCAGACTCCTCTTCTAGGACAGCCTCTTGCCCAGTGTGTCTTGTACCTTCTCTTTCATTTACTGCTTTGCCTGTGAGATTGGTTTCTGTCTGGCTTTCCTCCCTATATCTTATCTCCAGACTGCTCCCTGGAGAGAAATTCGAGATCTTTGTGCTGCGGCACAAGTCCTTCAATATCAGGCCCTCAATTTGATTATGGAATAGATGGAGTGACAGCATGTCCAGTGCAAAGCAGGCCACTCCTTCTCTAGCCATCCTAGGTCCCGCCATCAGCTTGGTGCACTCATTTATCATGGGTGAATTTTAACTCCTCACCTAACCTGCTGGACATGTCGTGAACTCATGGCCCATGGACCAACAGCCTGGCAGGCTACCATATTTGGACAGGGAAAACTCTGGGTTTGCTCCAGCCTGGGCCATGGTAGGGCTATGTGTTCCAACCTCACTTCATTTTCAAGCTTACAGTCCCCCTAGCTCACTAACTGCAAGCTCTGGGGTGGGAATGAACATCAGAGACCCAGAGACCAAGAAGAATGAGAGAGGAAAAGTGTAGAGGGTGCAGTGGAGAAGAATGGGGAAATGGCAAGTAAAAGGATCAGAAGCAAAGCTTAGGGAGAAACCGAACGGGTAGAAACAAGATAAAGGATAGAAACCTTAGCGCACTGGTTCTCAACCTTCCTAATGCTGTGACCCTTTCATATGCTTCCTCTGGTCGTGGTGGCCCCCAACCATAATATTATTTTTATTGCTATTTCAGAACTGTTGTAAGTATCTGATCTGCAGAATATTTGATATGCAACTTCTGTGAGAGGGTTACTCAACTCCAAAGGGGTCATGACCTACAGGTTGAAAACCACTGCCTTAAAGAAAAGAAGCTGGGAGAGAGGAAGACTAGAGGAAGCCCTTTGAGAGAGGAAGGTGGGAGCCTGAAATAGAAGAATTTTCAGTACTTCTGTGGAGGATTGGAAGCTTGCCTCTGCCCCAACTGGGTGCCTTTTAAGGGCTCCAAGTTCATGGACAGCATTTCCAAGACTAAAATCCTGTAACTTCCTCATCCCTGGACCTTCCCCTTAAACATTCTCTTTCCTCCCTTCAGGATGGCATGATGCCCCCTTTGTGATGTTGATTTAAAGCCTGGCACTCAGTTCCTTGCCTCACCCTTCTGATGTCTGAATGGATTCCTTTATTTTCTTTTTTTGACAGCTTTCTGATTGCATTAAAATTCATCCACAGTGCCTTTCTATCCTGCCTCTTTTTGCCAGTGGTGTTTCTCCCATTTGTTGCCCCCTCCTCTGAGTCTCCTTTTGCTATGTAGTTCTCTGGAGACCGTTTTCAACATGCAGGGTGCCAAGCTGCCTCCTTGCTGACCACTTTGATGACTCCAGGGAAAACGTAGCTAGCTTACTTTTCCCAAAAGCTACAAGACAGAAAAACAGACCTGGCTCCAGACTTCTTCTCTGACAAAGGCAAAACAGTGCAGATGTTCCTATCTGGATCCTGAGTGCCATTGGTCTGTACTCTTCCTTTCTATTTGGATTTTGTTACCATGGAGTTAGTCCATGGCTTGTATTTCACATCAAGGGCTAGAAGGATTCTGAGTCTGGAGTGGACCTCCTTGGCAGGTCTAACATGTCATATTCAGTTTCCTTGCCGCCCAGCTGTATAACTAACTGCCTCATGTCTCAGTTTTCTAGGTCTATAAAATGGGAACAATGTGGCCTTCCTGCCTATGGTCTGGGAGTTGCTGGGGGAACAGTGCATGGTGAGCAGTAATGGCAAAATTATTTGGGATTCTTTATGCCATAGGGAGAGGAAATGGATGCTGTTTCTCCTTGGTTTGCTTTGCCTTGGCTTGGCCAAAAAAGTTATCTCTGCTCTGGAATTCTGTGAACTCCAGCCAAGGTCTCGTCTACCCTCTGCTTCTAGATCCCAAGGCCCTTGCTGCTGTATTTTTCTCTTTTAAAATGGGAGTGCTGATATCTTTGGATGTGCAGAAGTGCCTGGGGTTTTGGGGGCAGGAGAATGGCATCTAGTAGGTATATGCCAGTCCCAGAGAAGGCAGCTTGGCTCTGGATCTGGATGTCATATCCCCATAGGAAATAAGCTTGAGCCTGTCAGAGTACCCAAGTGTCAAGTGAAGGTATGTGTAGCCACCAGTGGAAGGGCCAAGCGGAGCATCCCAGGCCCTTTGGCTCTCTTCTCTGGTTGACCCTCTCCAAGACTATATTGAAAACTTACTGTGTGCCTAGGAAATGAATCTGAGATGAACCTTGGAATTTGGGAAAGAGGCTTTAGCTTCTGAGTTTTTCTCTTTCTGTAGGTGGAAAGGTTGTACATGAGGATCCAAAGCTTTTGCATTATGGGCCCCAAATCTCTACCATGGAGCCCTAGAGAATAGTCATGTCTGGATTCCTAGTGGATGGTCACATCTAATAGCTTTGGGCTACAAGCCAGTAGGTGCTGGTTTGGAGAGAAGACATGTTATGTCCATAAGGCTCCCAAGAAGGTGGGCTAGAGATGTGACCTACAGACCTACAACCTGGAGAGTCTGAGCAAGGACTCAGGGGAGCTCTTGGCTGCCTTTCTCACCTGCTCCCATGTGATTCCATAGCTACACTTGATATGCAGTGTTCCCTGTTCCTCTTCCTCCTTCTCTTTCTCCCTGCCTTCCCCCCCCCCCCAACCAGGGCTTATATCTGAAACATATGCTGCTCCTCTTATAATAAACTTTCAACTTTGTCTCACTCTGGCTAGCCTGAAATTATTTTCTGCAGTGTAGTCAAGGATTGTAGTGAAGGTTCCTTCTGGTGTCAGGGCTTGCAAAAACGAACCCTGGGACCTTCCTTCTCATTTGCTTCCTGTCTACTCTCCATGCCAAGCAGCACATAACACCTCCTGTTCTTCCAACTTGGGAGAGATTTATTGTCTCAGAGCCCCAGTATGACTCTGAGCTTTTCCCACCTATAAAATGCCCTGGGCTGAGCCTCCCAGGATTCTGGTGGAGTGTGTAAAAAGGCAACAACAGAGTTGCTTGCAGGAATCTCTGGCTGTGCAGAGATAAAGACTCCTGCACTCACTCATTTGTCTAGCCTGGTCTTCAGATTATCGAGACAAGAGAAAGGGTCCTCCTTACTAGAGAGTCTGTAACCCTAGAGCATTGCTATACCACTAGACAAAGGGCTTAATAAGGACAGCCCTTGAATGGGAGGCTTTGGCTTGGCTTAGCCAGTCTATCCCCAGCACAGCCTCTTCTGGGGAGCACATTGTTGGCCACACAATGGGATTAGTACCACAAGGGCAAGGGGTGATTGGCAACAGAGCCACTTGACTTGCCAAATGCCAACATCTTGATGATAATGCTCAAATCCCAGATAAATTTTCAAAGTTTGATTAACCCATTACCCTCAGGACTAAACAATACTTCCTGCTTAAGGGTGGATGGCTGCTTGGGTACCGTGGACCTCCATCGAATGGTGAATATTGTTTTCTTTTTTACTGCTGCACAATTTTCTCACCCCCTTTCCTCCAGGTGCTGCAGGGTATGGGAGGGTGGCTTGCATATTTAAGAGGCACAAGCTAGGGAGACCCCTGGGGTTAAGCGGTGAGGATAGTGAGAATCACAGGTTTCTGGTCAGGTGGCTGGTGAGTAGGATGGCAGGAGACAGGGAATGCTAAGACTATGGGCCAATCCACACATGTCCATTGATAGAGCTAGAGGCATCTTTCCTACCCACAAGGCTTTAGCCCAGGTGGGGTCAAGGCAATGGTCTGCAAACGCCTCCTCTGGGCAGAGCGTAGAGCACTGGGGGCATTCCATGATGGGTCCTCCAGAGTCTCTTGGGTACTCCTTTACTGTGTAATTGCTCCCCACTGAAGGTGCCTCCTTGGGTAAATCCCTGAAGCCCCACAGGCATGAATTTATGGGGTGAATATCACTTATAAATCAAATCAATTAAAACCTTTCTTAAGTGGATTACCAGGAGTCACAATTGACAACATGAAGAGATAGGCAGCCCTGATAGAAAATGATGCTTGTGCTTCTAGCACTTTCTGGCTGTGTAACTTTAGACAAGGAGTGCATTCTCCCTGGGTAGAGCAGGTGAGGATGAAGTGAACTTAACTTTTCTGAAGCTCTTAGGACAGGGTCTGTCCCAGAACAAGTGTTCAATAAATGATTGTTACTGTCCCTGTTAGTGGCCATCTCTGCTGCTTACCCAGAGGCTGCTTGCTGGGTGTTAGGTAAGGTATAGAACATTGAACTGGGCAGCCATGTCAGTCTGGACGACCTAAGAAGCCACCTTCCTGGTTGTTGGTCAATGTTTCATGGACCACTGAGAGGCTCCTCAGCATCCTCTGGGATGCCTTTCTGGATGGAGCCAAAACAAGGGACACCTCTGCCT